CTGCTTCTCCTAGGCCTAAAGATTCACTAGGTCCTCCTCACCCTGAAGCCAAGTGAATTGTTGTAAGGCAGGGCTAGGAGCCCGTTCTCACAGTCTTCCTTCATGGGCCTCAGTCAGAGCCGATTAGCCTCGCTAATCTTGCTCATAAATCATTCCATCTTCTCAACTAATCGTCTTTATCAACACACCTGTGAACTTCTGGGGAACTTCTACTCCTTTCTAGAACCAGGCTTCCGTTAGATGAAGGCATTTTGAGGTGGTGATGCCCATGAAGACATTTCAGTAAGGAGTCAGGGAATCCTCTCCTCAGCAGTTCACCTCCAAATAAGTTCAGACACATGGCTACCAGGCCCCACAAATGAGGCTTGATTGCAGCCACCTTTCCCCAAAACACACTCTTGTGATGGCTCCTCCTACAGGAGGCATACCAGCTCCTCTCTAAAAGATTTAGCAGTACAGTGGGATGAGGCAGAAGACGGGAAGATGAGAACCCTGACAGGCAAGGTCCTCACAGCGAGGGCCACAGGTCCTTCATTGTTATGCTTAGATTTCATAATTTTCTTTGTGATTTTAAGGGCTTCTCACATTGCTTCTAAAAAACATCCCTCCTCAGTGGTCTAGGGGGACAACTATGGAAGTAAAGCCTGCTGGCATAAAAAGTATAGTAAGTGGGTCTGGAGAGATGGTGTCACAGTTAAGAGCACATACTATTCCTGTAGGGACCCAAGTTCAGTTCCCAGCACACACCCATAACTCTAGTTCCAGGAGACCTGATGCCTCAGGAATCCAACGGTATGTGTGCTCATGTGCACGAACCCACACTTAAAAATAAATGTTGTCTTTTTAAAGTATAATAAGCTGGATATCCACACCTGGGAAATGCCATGTATCGGGAGCATACTGTTGGAACAACCCTCTCCATGATGCTTCATGAGACCGACACTTCAATTGTCCCCGAATCTGCCACCCATCTGCCCAGTGTAGGAGGCAACAGTGATCTTTTCTACCCTTCAAACCTCCCATGATGGGAGACAAGCAGAGTCCCAACTTCAGAGGCAGCATAGCAGACCAGTCACCATCCGGCCTCAGGGGCCAAATGCAATATGACCACCTGCCTCAGGCTCCTCAAACTACACATTTCCCACTATGATGGGCAACATGCTTAGACTGTGGGCCACAGTACACCCTTCATTCTTTCAGTTGTCTTCATCAGGTGTTTGTCACAGTGAAGAGGAAAACAGGGAAGACAGGTAGGGAGGCAAAGCTAAGCCCGCTGAAAATATCTCTCTTACCCTTGGGTCTCTCTGGCCTTCCTGTAGCAAGAATGTCCCACCACCCCATCTGTCCAGACAACAGCCGTCTCCAGCAAGGGATAGCTAACCACTGTATCTTCTTAAAACTTCCCATCCACAGCAATCCTTTCATGTGCCATTCCGGGTTGTGGGGAATGAAGATATGCTGACCTTGACCTTCCAGCCTGAGGATAAGGATGCTTCCAGCATCCTCCAGCGTCCTGACATAGATGCCCAGGGAATGTCTGTCAGAGGTACACTTTGTAGTATAAGGTAAAACTCAGGCAGTGTGCGTGTGGGAAAGACCTTCACTGTTTCCCTTTCCACTGTGACAGACACCTGATGAAAACAAATTAAAGAATTAATGGTGCATTAGGGTTCCCACAGAGAGGTCTATGAGGGAGGGAAGGAGGGAGGGAGGGAGGAAAGGAGGAAGGGAAGAAGGGAGGAAGGGAGGGAGGAACTTCCTTTGCTTCCATCTCAGAGGGTGGTGGTGTTATGGACCACAGATGTCACGGGTGGTACAGCTGACAAGTCTACCCAACAGAGTCTGCTCTATTTAATGGCACCCTACAGGAGACTATTATCTTTGCCTAAATCTCCTTACAATAGCGTGGAGTCGTTCCAACTTCACTTTCTTTTGTCAAATCCAAGGCAAAGAAAGCATATTAAGCACAATGTTAAGAGGCTAGGATCAGGATGCTCAGATCCAACTCTGAGCTAGAGATCTCGGAAGAGTGATTTAGCCTCCTTGTATCTAACTTATATCTTTGGAAAAATGGAAAAGAGGGTACCACCCTACTGCCCTACAGCAGGAGTGACCAGGATTGACAAAGGCGTGTGTGTCAAGTGTTTAGAACAGTGCCTGCCCTCTTACCTTCAAAATCTGCCTTGCTGACCACCGGTCCCTCCTTTTATGTGATGCTCTCTATGGCCCTGATACTGAGGACTACACCAAGAGTGTAGCACTGTGCACATTACAGGTTAGTTCCTTAGGTTTCTACCCTCCTAACTAGAATGGATGTTCCCTGGAGGCAGGGTCCATCCTTAGGAAGCTGGCTCAGTCTACAGTCCTGCAGCTAGATTACAACACACAGATGACTTCTTACTCCAAAGAAATGACCCAGGGGGCCACCTCCTCATGGCCATTTTACATACATGTAGATACCTCAGTAACCACACGTTACTGACTGGAATCAGCTCGTGTGGGATCTGCCAAACTCTCACTGGACTGGAGCCCATAACTGAAAGTCAGACATTTGTAGTTTGGATGAAATTAACCCATGGTGGACACACTGGGGCGAGCATGCAAACAGATGGTCTAGCAGATGGATCTAACTTTTCGACACTGGGAATGATGTTATCGTCTCTAAAGTTCACACTCAAGAACCATGCACACACACATACACACAGACCACACGCCGCCACCACCACGACCGCCCTTCATAAAGTTTGAAGTAAATTTAGGATTGTATAGCTGTCGCTGGCTGCATGGAACCTCATACTGCACCCCCACAGGCTGCAAGTGCAGCTCAAACGATCTTTATCTTTCTACTCTAGCTACACACAAGCTCAGTGGGGTCTTTGCCTTACACAGGGTGGCACATTTTCACCAAATCCTAGTTATAGAAGGGTCGATTCTGAGAGCCCGAATAATTGGCTCTCTCTGTCTCAGGGAAGAGGGTGGTCTTGAGAGAGATGCATTAATACTCTGAGCAAGTGAGCATGATCACATTTACACAACACTTCACACTGAGGCCACGGAAGCCTGAGGGATAGCCTGTGCCAGCATTCTGCCCATTTCACAGCCAGGGAACCAAGGCTCAGATAGCCAGTGTCCTCTACAAACTCTAGGCAGTCAGTGTCAAAGCATAACAAATGGTCTCTGAGCTCTGGTTTCATTTCTCAGGGATCACATGACCCATAGAAGGTCCCAGATTTAGAACAGACCTACTAAGGACCATTGCACGGCACAGTCTGTATTGTCTTGTGGTCATACCTGCAAAATATAACAGAGTCTCCGCTTTCCAAAGAAACTGTAGCAAGCCTAGAGTAGGGTATTTGTTCTTTGGGATAGGGGTGTGGCGCTCAAAATAATACCTAAACTCAAACACATCTCTCATCTGAACACATGTGGTGCTCAGAGCTTTGTAAGGAAGGGACACATACACGCACGCACGCACGCGCAAGTGGTGTACCACTTTCTGAACACCAGTCATGGTTCCAGACATGAGGTTATAGCGATACATCCACACACAGACCCAACCTTGCCCCTTCCCTCAGGCTAGAAGATAACTAGAGTTCAAGGTCTCAGAACTAGGAGCTTAGAGACCAGAAGGCTTGTCTCTAGAGTTATATTCTTAATCCTCAACAACCCCTTCATGTGTGTCCACACTCTACCCCATGGTATGCACAGGCTAAATGAGACAGTTGAAAGAGAGGCCACATCTGTGGGCACAGCTCCCCAGTGCCCAGAATGAAGGAGCCTATGCAGTCAGTTACCAAATACTCCAAGCTGAGTTTATACCTTAGTCTCAGAAGTAACGGCAAAGTGCATCTGGTCCCTGCCTTCACGGAGTTGAAAGGCGGAAGGGTAAAGACTGGCAAATGCCTGTATCATTTCATTCACAGCCTGCCATGAGCTCTCATCCATGGGTCCAGCATAGACTATGAACTGGGATGACTATTTCTCCTAACTGACTTACCATGGCTGCTGGGAACCAGCTGGCAACTTCATCCCCATGGCACATACATACCCAAACCCTACTCCTTTTTGCTACAAAATATTAAAATCAAAGTCATTTGCTTTGGCCTCACCTTAACTGCTCGACAACTCCCTGAAGCCTAATTACTCGCTACTGTGCCAGCGCTCCTGGCCACTGTTTGTTTCCTCTCTCCCCTGGGTCAATCATGAAGTGAGGCTTTGCTTGCTGGTAAGCATTCCTCCAGGTATGGACACGAGGCCGTGACTTTCAAAAGCATCTGCTTAGCTGTCCTTCCATGCTGTCCTGTCCCTTTGAGGGAAGACTCCTTCCTTCAAGTCTCTACCCCCTTAGCAGCAAGGATTGGGTCCCTTGGGCTCAAAGCTTTGCACAGAGCCAAGCAGGCAGATGGACATCTAGAAATGAGTGTTGTGTTGCAGTTGCTTTAAGTACAGGGCCAGGGCTGTGTATTTACTGAAGTATCAAAGGAAGCTATGGGACCATAACCCAACAGGACAGAGTCCCGTCTGCCAAGGGAGGGCTCCCGTTCCTTCCTTCTCAGCCACCTAGTGGAATACCTCCATTCCTTTCCCTAGCAGGATATCCCCAACTTTCCCAAGAGAAACACTGAACAAATCCAGCATGGTTATTTGTCTTTTTTTGTTTGTTTGTTTGTTTGTTAAAGTGAAATGCTATGTTCCAGTACTTCCCTAATAATGGGTCACATCAGACACAAAATCCCCATCTTAACGTCTGTGACTCCCGTGTGGAATCGCACGGCGAGATTGCTCCTACCCGAAGCAGCACATAGCAGTGCTTGATCGTTTCCATTTTTAACCTAGGCAGGAACACTTCTCAGAGTGGAGCAGGGAGCCGAGTGGGCGCGGCGCTCTGGATTGCAGGAGGTCTGACAGTGGAGTCAAGAACGTAGGATCTGCCTGTCAGAGGGCTGCAGATGGCCCAGCGGGGAACAAGGTTTGATCACAGATAGCCGCAATCGTCTGGATAACCGGAAGACTGCTTTTTGACGGCAAACAAATCAGTATTAGAAACATACCAAGAAGCGATTTGATGTTTGCTGCTGCCAGGGATCCGCACACCTAGTTCCTCAGAGGCGCATCTAGCAGGAATGGACTCACTTTCCTATTTTGTCTTTTCTATCCCTATTTATCATAAGTATGGATCAGAATATAGGCTTAACACCCTCCTCCCCTACTCCTTTTTTACAAAGATTTATTTATTTATTTTATGTATGAGTACAGTGTAGCTGTTCTCAGACACACCAGAAGAGGCCATTGGAGTCCGTTACAGATAGATGTGGTTGCTGGGAATTGAACTCGAGACCTCTGGAAGAACGGTCAGTGCTCTTAACTGCTGAGCCATCTCTCCAGACTCCACCCCCCAAGCCCACTTTGTTTTTAAGGTTCTATTTAGCCCAGGCTAGCTTTGAATGGACTAAAGAACCAAACATGACCTTGAACTGCTGCTCCTCCTGCCCCCTCCTCCTGAGCGCTGAGATCCAGGCATGTACCACCTCACTCAGTTTTGTGCAGTGCTGGGGAGGGAACCCAGAACCTCAGGCATGCTAGGAAAATACTCTACCCACTTAGCCACATCCCTAGACCACATTTTCATAAGCTGGTTCCAGGAGGGACTTCTACGGCAGCCAAATCAGTTAGTATGAATCAGTAATGGCGGACACACATCTCTCAGAACCCCCAAGGGAGGAGGAAGTGAGTGCTGAAGTCGACTGAGACTTTGATTAATAACATTGTATAAGTATTAGTTCATGTGTGCAAATGTAACATTGTAAAGCTAGGCGTGAATAGCTGGGTGTGCACTGCTGGAGGCTAGGACCAGGTAAGTGGCTGTCTACATTTTTGTTGTTGTTTGTTCAAATTTTTTCTATAAACCTAAAACTTCTCTAGAAAAATAATTATTGAGTATATTGAGTATATCCCCCCCCCCGCTTTTTTGTTCTCTGGGTGGCTTTGGTCTTCTCATCTGGAGAACAAGAGCATTAATAGCCCCTTTGTAAAGAGTCCTTAGAAGAAGAGATACAGAGTGTACTCAGAATGTGCCCAACACATGACGCGCCAGGGCAGCACTAGCATGTGCCAGGTACCACTTAAAAATTCCACCTGTCAAGTGGCTTAAGTCTCATGACAGTCTAGTGGGTAGAAACTTCTGTCATCCTCATTACAAAAGGGAAAACTTGAAACTTAAAGATTACATAACTTGTTCAAGGTCACATCACCAGTATGAAGTTAACTGGGACTCAACCACTAGGCCTGCTTTCACCATACGAATGACTGCCTCCAAGATGCGCAGACACAAGCCTTTGTTAGCTCCTGGAAATCTTCTTAACTAGCCAGCATGACCTCTTTTTGTTCACAGGTAAGAGAGGCAGAAAAAGCCCAAATGCCAGCAGGCAGAGTCTTGGTGCTGCTGACATTAGAATCAAGGCTTCTGCCTCCCAAAGACTTGGACCCATATGACCCTTTCCCACCCACCAAGCAGCAAAAGGTGGGTGTCTAGATGACAAATGTCTGTCTTCTCCAGCCTCCTCTTGTGATCAGGCTGCTGGCTCTACCACAGCCCTGCTCCTGTAGCCTGTACCTGGTGGTTGTCCCCACACAATCCTGATGTACCTTTTGCAGTTCTGGTTTCTGCCTCCTCTTTCTTTCTCACGCTTTCTGCACCTCTGATACCTGCACTGGCCATCTATGAGACTTATTGCTGGGGTACTGTCCAATGACTTCATCTTTGCTTGATCCAGCTGTGTACCAGCTCCCGTTGGCATGCCCCTCCCATCCTTACCCGGTCTGCCACGTACTTTCCTTCACACTACCCCTTTCCTCCAGCTCTACCCCATACAGAAAAGAAGCAAGGGTAGAGTCACAAAAGCAAGTGGTTCACAAAGCATCCTCTATCCAAAGCCTGCATCAGTTTGCTCTACTCCCCTGAAATTCTACAAGGCCCTTCATCTTCAGCCTGGTCCTCCCAGCCTTCTTCTCAAGGACACTCAGCCACCAGGCACTTCAGAATGCTCACCCACAAAGAGGGAACCTCAACATAACCAAGCAAACTCCACAGGAGGGCTGAAACCCCCCAGCAGTAACAACAAACCCACCTCCTCTCTCCTTCACCTACTTTTTAAAGATGCTGGATGCCAGAAAACTACAGGATGACAGAGCCGGAAAAAGAGGCACTCACTCAAACTCAAATGAGGGGTTGGGTGGGGGATAAGGACAGGAGAAGCCTTGCTAGGCACAGTTTAAAACAAAAACAAACAAACAAACACCCAAACCAAAGTAGGAAGTAAACATTTTTCAATGTAAAACTGTTCCAAGATAAACTGCAGAATTCTAAATCCTCAAAGATAAGGTATAGCAAAGTCAGAAATGTTTGCTGCCACGAGACAAGAGCAAATGCTTGGTAAGGGACGTGGTCAGCTCATACTCACCCAGCTCCATGGACAAATGGCTGCCCAGTGCTTGTAATGCCCCAGCTCTGTCTCATGACCAGAGACAGCGGGTGAAGACCCAAGTGTGTAACTGTCCTATCATACAGGGTAGAGGATGTCTCCCATGCCAAAACGGCACGTTAAGGGCTGATGCGGGTAGTGTGTATAATCCCAGTAAGCCTGTGAACCAGATGTAGTTATCACCCCTGCATCCTGTGCTGCAGATGGGAAAGCTGAAATGCACACTGGCTTCAGACAGCAAGCTAGGCTTTCACTGACTGTATATGCTCCAGAGCAGTGAGCAATAGGACTATGGGCAGAAGAGTGGACACTTGTGAGGGGCTGGAACAAGACACTATGACAGGCACTGGTTTGGGTGTCTACTTAACGACTGGCTGGACAGGGACAACCTTTAGGATGCTGCACTAATGAGCAGACACCCATGAGAGAGAAGGACAGAGAGGTCATGATGGTCAGAAGCCTTAAAAGTTGCCCATGCAATGTTCCCGTCACTGATCCTGATTTCCAGGTCAGGCCTTGGCATCTGCATTCCCCAGGAAGTGTCTCTTCTTGCAGGCCAGGCTTGAGAAGAACCATCCTTAAACACTCCAGGTGCTACCACCAAGAGCGGCCTGGAAACTTGTTGGTTCCCTCTGTGGCCTGAATGGACTCCATGGTCTCAATCCTTATGTTCAAGCCACAGCCCTCTATATGAGAGCATTCAGAGGCCTTTGAGTGTATGTGAAGGGGACTAGGGTTAAAGGAGACTAGGGTGGTGGGGTTCCTATAATGGAGTAGTGCCCTTATAAGAAGAAGGAGGGGGAGGAGGAGGAAAAAGAGGAGGAAGGGAAACAGAAGGAAGCTTAATCATTTTCTCAGTTTCATAGGAACATATCACACAAAGGCATCTCTCTCTCTAAGCCAGACAGTCCTCACTAAGACACCAGAAAAATCAGTAACTCCATCTTTAACTTTCCAGAGGGCAGAGTCACTAAAGCAAGTGGATCACAAAGTATCCTCCATCCAAAACCTGCATCAGTTTGCTTTGCTCCCCTGAAATGGTACAAGACCTTTCATCTTCAGCCTGGTCCTCTCAGGCTTCCTCCCACGGACACACACAGATCTGTGAGAAAGCATCTTTTTAGCCACCTAGCCTGGGGTATTTTGTTATAGCAGTCAGTGACAGACTCAAGGTCCCTGCCATTCATTACCGTGGCACAGGTTTGGGCCACACCCACCTGCTGACTTCTGTGTTGCTTGCACTACATAGGCCAGGGTATCTCAACCTATGAGCCACAACCCAAATGACCTTTCAAAGGGTCACCTAAGGCCAAAGGAAAACACAGATGTTTACATTACAATTCATAACAGTAGTAAAATTACAGTTTTGAAGTATCAACAGACAATCTTTTGGTTGGGGGTCACCACAACATGAGGAACTGTATTAGAGGGTCCCAGGAAGATTGAGAACCACTGGTCTAAACTATGAAAAGAAATATCTAAGTCCTTGAGTCTAGATCATGCTTTCAAGTCTCTCAGGGAAAATTATAAATTTTCTATTGACATCATTGACCAAAATTAAGTAATTATTTTTATTTCCCTATGTGTATGATAAATAAACAAATACTTTGGAAAATTACTACGTTAAATCAAGTCTTAACTTTTATTAAACATCCGCAAGTGATTTTGCAGTGCTGGTGTAATTAAAGGCAGAGCCTTGTACATGATTGGCAAATACTCTACACCTCCAGCCTAGCATTCAAATACTGATCAACCACCTACCTGCAAGTGTCCAGCAACACTCTAGGGCAGAGCTCACTGGTATTTGGTGTACACTGAACTCACTGGGGACCTTGTTAGGATGCAGATTCTGTTCTAGTAGGAGAGAGAACGAAACTATATCCCTAGTAGGGTTGTCATGATGGCCTACTACGTACTCTGGGCCCCAGCCTTGGTAGCAGCAACTCTGACTTCCTCTTGCAAACACCTCTTAGGCATAGTCTCTGCCACATACCTGAACTGCTAACCTGAAGTCCCAGTCCGCCATTATCATAGCAGTAGCCCAGGATGAAAGCTTTGAGTGAACATCTATCTGCTCCCCAGGTGCCCAACAGGTGATCAACAGGTGTCAGCCACACTTACACCCAGATGTTGGGCCACACAGATTTTTACATTTCTAGCAACACTAACCCTTAGGTGCCCAGCCACACTGACTCCCAGGTGCACACTGACTCCCAGATGCACACTGACCTCCAGGTGCACACTGACCACCAGGTACACACTGACTCCCAGGTGCATGCTCACTCCCAGGTGCACACTGACTCCCAGGTGCACACTGACTCCCAGGTGCACACTGACCTCCAGGTGCACACTGACCTCCAGGTGCACACTGACCTCCAGGTGCACACTGACCACCAGGTGCACACTGACCTCCAGGTGCACACTGACCTCCAGGTGCACACTGACCACCAGGTGCACACTGACCACCAGGTGCATGCTCACTCCCAGGTGCACACTGACTAACAGGTGGATATATTCTTTGCTACAATCAGAGCCTGCAAGGACATAAGAGTAGTTTTTTGGGGCCGCAGAGATGGCTCAGTGGTTAAGAGCTCTGGCTGCTCTTCCAAAGGACCTGGGTACAATTCCCAGCAACCACATGGCAGCTCATAACCATCTGTAACTCCAGTTGCAGGGGAACCGATATCCTCACACAGACACACTTGTAGGCAAAACATCAATTCACATAAGAAAGAGTGGCCTTTTGGTGACCATCGTCCCATGCTAGAGCACAACTGAGTCCTAGAGACTGGACAAAGCTGAGTTACAGACACCTTTCAACCTCCGAGCCCAGTCTTCCAGTTTCCAAGCTAATCACTTTCCATGTTTGCTAAACTCAGTTGGGATGGTTTCTGTCATTGAGACAAAGGCCAACCGCATCCACGACCTCACAGGACTCCAGCAGGTCAGCCCCTTCTCCAGTATACACCAGAAAGGAAGTGTCTCCTACAGAACCGACTGCAAGTCTCTGTGATTCTTCATTGTTATATGGCTTTTCTGGGTCAAGATTCTTGTCCGCTCTACTTGACTGTAAGCTACTTAATGGTAGAGGCTGCCTCTTGTAACCTGCTTGGATTCCACAGTTTGAGAAAAAGAGAGAGAGAGAGAGAGAGAGAGAGAGA